CTTCCTTCCTTCCTTCCTTCCTTCCTTCCTTCCCTCCCTCCCTCTCTCCTTCCTTTTTCTCTGCTCCTCCCTTCACCCACTGCATTATATGGCAGTGTTGATGGGGCACTAAAGCACATTATATGAGTCTCTATACTGACCATATAATGCCATTTCAAACTGCATTATATATGGCAGTGCAGATGGGGCCCAAGTTTCTGCAAAGTTATTTCTGCCACTTTTAACATTCAGTTCCTTGATTTTTTTTTTGAGTTAACATATTCTGAAACATCCACATTAAAGAGATAATAAGCTGAAAAGGCACCCATCTCAGCACTAATCCTGGAGGGTTCTGACTATTGAGAGCCCTGCATTGCAATGCATGACCCTTTCTTCCTCCTCTTTGCTTCCCTTCTTCCGTTCCTTTTCCATCCTCCAATTCCCATAACTCAAGGAGGGCAACTGGCAAAGGACATTAACCACATAGCAGACTTTGGAGGGGTGAACCCACCACACCTGCTCTTGAAAAAGGCAGTCTGTCCCCACATTTGGAAGTTTAATTTTATTTCCAGGTTTGATTCATCCATTTTCTCCAGAAATTTCAAGGTCCTCCAAGGTGACTCCATGGCCAACTTCTGTTGACAGTTCTGAGAATAGAAGTTGACCCACAATTTGGATTTGGCACAAACCGCTCACTGAGAACAGCTTAAGAGGCCCAAATGTTCATACTGCTCACATGATCCATACCTACATTATATGTAATTTTTTTTCAGTTCTTACACAAAGCCTTTATTACCAAAGCCCAGTGCAGGTAGAGAGGACAACCTGAGAGTCCAAGGCGCCTTCCACGGATCCACTGTAGTAGCAGTCGTCCTGCAAAGTCCAAAGACATAACTGGGTGTAATAATAATAATAACAATAATAATAATAATAATAATAATAATAATAATAATAATAATAAACTTCATTTATATTCCACCCTATCTCTCTCCCTGAGGGGACTCAGGGCGTATTCCAACATAACAATAGCAAACATTCAATTGTAATAAGAAATTCAATATGCAGATTTGATAATGATGTGTGGGAATGAATGGAAGAATGGAAAGATGTATGGATGGAGTTAATAATTTTGGAGACACCAGTATAATATTAAGACCTGCAATGGCTAACTACCTGCTTGCTGGACTGTAATTAAAAGTTGCTAATAAGAACTGAAAAGTAAACTCTGATAAGAACTGGGACAATAATTATTTTAAGTTAAGGATGACAATGACCTAATTTCCCCAGGGAGCAAATTCCACAGGTGGGGGGCCACCACCGAGAAGGCCCTGTCCATCGTCCCCACCAATCGTGTTTGAGACAAAGGTGGGGCCGAGAGCAGGGCCTCCCCAGGTGGGACGTAGAAGGAGATACGTTCGGACAGGTGGATACTTCTTGGGAGAAATGACAATGAGGTTGCCAGATATGAGATTTGCTGGTCTGCCACCACCCTGATTCAAAAAACACAAGACCACTGGAGTATTATACAACTTTTACAAACTTTCCATTTTCAACTACTGCCATGATCCCTTTCCATATGGATTAGGATTGGGCGATCCAGTTCGTTAATTTCGTTATTCGTTATTAATTCGTATTTAAATTAGCTTACGATCCAATATTGAGCCATTCAGGAATAGTGTGAGGAGTAATTAAGAATCGAAACAATTTTTCCAATTTTCGTAATTATTTCGTAATTATTTCGTAATTATTTTCTTTCCTCATGCTTCTTCTTGCCTCACTCTGGGCTGCACTGGGCTTCCTTCCTTCCTTCCAGCTGGCAAATCCCACATTCCCCCCTCCCTCCTCTTTCTCCTGGCATCCTTCTTGCCCAAAATTTCTCATTATTTTTCATACCCTCACTCTATGCCACAGCAATGTGTTGCCAGGTACAGCTAGTATAAAATATAATATAATATATCTATATATATAAATTTGTTAGGGGCATCCAACGAGGAAACAAAACTCAAAAACCCCCCAACGAAACTTAACCAAAATTCCCATGCCCATAACACAACCCACAAGGTACAAACATATCTACTCAAAATGAAAAACAACACAACAACACACTCACAAAACGGCAAAACAACAAAACTCAAAAATCCCCCAACGAAACTTAACCAAAATTCCCATGCCCGTAACACAACCCACAAGGTACAAACATGTCTACTCAAAATGAAACACAACAACACACTCACAAAACGGCAAAACAACAAAACTCAAAAACCAACGAAACTTAACCAAAATTCCCATGCTCATAACACAACCCACAAGGTACAAACATATTACTCAAAATGAAAAACAACACAACAACACACTCAAAACGGCAAAAAAACAAAACTCAAAAAACCCCAACGAAACTTAACCAAAATTCCCATGCCCATAACACAACCCACAAGGTACAAACGTATCTACTCAAAATGAAAAACAACACAACAACACACTCACAAAATGGCAAAACAACTGAGCATGCGCATTGGCGCCCAGCCGCAAGTTCCCTGGCGCGCGCACATGCCCTTCCGGCCAACGTTCCCTCTGCGGAAACCATGCCCACTCCAAGCCCCGCCGCGCCGCTTCCCGCACACACACACACCCCTGCCGCACATACACACACAACCCCACACTCCATCACTCCCCCCGCCGCCGCACACACACACGCAACCCCACGCTCCATCACTCCCCCCGCCGCCGCACGCACACACGCAACCCCACTCCCCACCCCCCCCCGCCGCCGCACACACACACGCAACCCCACGCTCCATCACTCCCCCCGCCGCCGCACACACACACAACCCCACGCTCCATCCCCCCGCCGCCGCACACACACACACAACCCCACGCTCCATCACTCCCCCACCCCAATCTTACCTCCTTTTACTTCACGCCACCTCCAAACCCCACCCCGCCCCTTCCCGCCCTGTCAAAATCTAGGAAAGACAGGAAGGAAGGAAAGAAGGAAGAAAGAGAAAGGGAGGTAAAGAAAAAGGGGGAAGGAAGGAAAGTTAGAGAAAGAAGGAAGAAGAAAAGGAAAGAAAAGGAAAGATGGAAGGAAAGAAAAGAGAGACAGCAGAAAAGAAAGAAAAAGGGGGAAGGAAGGAAAGAGATAGAGAAAGAAGAGAAGGAAAGATGGGAGGGAAGGAAGGAAGGAAGGAGGGAAAGAAGGAGAGAAAGAGGGAAGATTGGCCACAGCAACACGTGGCGGGTAAAGGTTGTTATTTCTTATTATTATTATTATTATTATTATTATTATTATTATTATTATTATGCTATTGTTCCTATGAGACCCTGGGGGAATGGGAGAGGTGTCAGGTCCCAGAGGCAATGCATTGCATTATTGTTATTGTTATGATGGTGGTAAAATAAAAGGAAATAAAAAGTGAAAGAAGGAAGCAAACAGGGAGGGAAGAAAGGCAAAGGAAGAAAGGGGGAGGGAATGAAGGAAAGAGAGAAGGATGAAACCAAGTAGTGAAAGAAAGAAAGAGGTAGAGAAGGAAGAAAGGAGAGAAATGGGGAGGAAAAGGGGGAAGGAATAGGTAGGTACCTCTCTTTCATAATAGTCCAGATATCTACCTCAACTTTGATAAGTTTTACTATAGGCCACAGCAACGCGTGGCAGGGCACAGCTAGTTATAATATAAAATACAATTATAATATAAAATAATATACAATTATAATATAATATATAATATAATAATATTATAATAATATAATATACATATTATATTATATTATTATAATACTATTATATTATAGTATTGTATATTATATTATATTATATTATAATATAATATATATAATATTATTTATTTATTTATTTATTTATTTTATAATATAATATGTTATAATATAAAGTAATATAATATAATATAATATACAATAATATAATATAATAATATATAATATAATAATATTATAATAATATAATATAATATAGTTGTTGTTTGTTTTATCACACCAACAGTCAACAACAGAGGGAGAAGGAAGCTTCAGAAGTTCCCCCTGTCCCATTTGGAGGTTTTTTTTTTAGCATATTGCGCGTCCGCCTTTAACAAATTGATTCGAAATTTACTAAATTTCGTAAATTTTGAAATTTTGAAAAGGACAATTTCGGAAGTCCAAAAAAAAAAAAACAGAAACGCCATCGCCCCTTACAAACGAAACGAGTTTAGAACCAAATTTTTCCGTTGTTACCCAAGCCTAATATGCATAGTTTTTGGAAACACCAGCCAGCATGTTCAGCTATTGACTGATATATGGGGTGGGGTGGGGGGAAAATACCTGAATATATGGGTAGTCTGCAATCAGATCTCCTTTCGTGTTGTAAGTATAGACCGGCATATGTGCAGCTATAAAGGATCTGAAGAACAACAAAATCACAAAATCAGACATCTGTATCAGTAACGTTGCAATTTTGGATGCCTATTATGAGAGCATGTATGCACTGCAGAATTAACTTTAACTGCCATTGTTGTGGTTCAATTAATCACAAAAAACTGACAGGTCTTTTAAGACTGAAAAGTTAATACTAATAATAATGTAATGGTTGATAGGAGAGATAATACCAAGAGCGATCCTTTCTGGGAGGCAGAAAAGTATGTTTATTTTCAGTTGAGACCCTGGCGTGGAATCAGTCCAAAATCATAGAATCATAGAATCACAGAATCGTAGAGTTGGAAGAGACCTCCTGGGCCATCCAGTCCAACCCCATTCTGCCAAGAAGCAGGAATACTGCATTCAAATCACCCCTGACAGATGGCCTGACAGAAAGCAAAACAGAGTGAGGATAAAGACGTTGACTTTCCCTTTTATACATCTTCAAATGCAGGTAAACAAAGAAACATGCTTCTACATACGTAACATAATCACTACGTCACCTTAAGCATCATAGAAATATCAAATTATATCTTCTACATGCAAGGGGCATGTCATCATATTTTCCTAAAGCAGCGTACAGCATGCCAGACATCAAGGGAACAACTGACCGCAGAGGGAAGCTGATGAGGAAACACAACATACCAACTATCTCCAGACCCACCGAGAAAATCCAACAAATGCTCCGTTCAGCAAAGGACAAGAGGGACCCTCTCACTTCTGCAGGAGTCTCCCATATACCATGCAGCTGTGGACAAGTCTACATTGGGACCACCAAACGCAGCAGCATTGCCCAGACACGAATCAAGGAACATGAAAGGCCCTGCAGACTACTTCAACCAGAGAAGTCAGCCATAGCAGAGCACCTGATGAACCAGCCTGGACACAGCATAGTATTTGAGAACACAGAAGTGCTGGACCACTCTCACAACCACCATGTCAGGCTACACAGAGAAGCCATTGAAATCCACAAGAAGCAGGTGGACAATTTCAACAGAAAGGAAGAGACCATGAAAATGAACACAATCTGGCTACCAGTATTAACTAACTCTAAAATTACAACAGCAAAACAACAAAGAGGAAACAATCAGGGACAGCTAATCACCTCAAAAAATAGACCATGTCAGATCCCACAGCAAGCTGGCTTCAGGAAAGGCAAAAGCTGCACATCGCAAGTGCTGAACCTGACTCAGGACATAGAAGATGGCTTTGAAAGGCAGCAGATCACAGGAGCTGTCTTCATAGACCTGTCAGCGGCTTATGAGACTGTGAACCACCACCTCCTCCTGAGAAAAATGTATAATCTCACAAAGGACGACCGTCTCACCCGCCTCATAGGAAACCTGCTACAAAACAGGAGCTTTTTTGTTGAGTTCCAGGGCCAGAGAAGCAGATGGCGGAAACAGAAGAACGGCCTGCCTCAGGGGAGTGTGTTCGCTCCATCCATGTTCAACATCTACACAAGTGACCAGCCACTGCCAGAAGGGACAGAGAGTTTCATCTATGCTGATGATAGTGCCATCACTGCTCAAGCAGGGAACTTTGAAATGGTTGAACAGAAGCTCTCCCAAGCTCTAGGTGCTCTTACTGCCTCTTACAGGGAAAACCAACTGATCCCTAATCCATCTAAAACACAGACATGTGCCTTTCACCTTAAGAACAGACAAGCATCCCGAGCTCTGATGATCACCTGGGAAGGAATCCCACTGGAGCATTGCAGCGCACACAAATCCCTGGGAGTCACTCTGGACCGTGCTCTGACTTACAAGAAGCACTGCCTGAATATCAAGTAAAAAGTGTGTGCTAGAAACAATATCATACGAAAGCTGACTGGCACAACCTGGGGATCACAACCAGACACAGTGAAGACATCCGCCCTTGCGCTATGCTACTCTACTAGTACTACTAATTCTTCAGTGAAGTTGCACCCATAGGCATACAACACAAATATATAAGGATTTCTTTTGACAGTGTAGTTGTTTTGTTTTTAAAATCATGATGTCTAGCTTTTAGGTCTAGGAAATAGGCCTGTGCGGTTTCGTTCGTTAATTCGTTAATTCGTTATTAATTCATTATTTTTGGCATTTCCGAAGCGATATTGAAACATATTTCCAAACCCGGAAGGGTTTTTAAATATCGAACCAGCAACCCCCATAGTTTTAACGAGCCTCCGCTCGTTTCGTTAATGGGGTGGAGGCTGCTGGAGTGCTGGTGCCTGGGAGCCAATCCGGCGCTCCCAAGCAGTGCACCATGGGTCCGTGGCTGTTTGTTTTTGATTGGCCGGCGAGCCCTTTCAAAGCGGCTCCACGCGGCCGTAGCTTGCTGCAGAGGGCGAGGGAGTTTGCATTGGGTTGGCTTGGCAATGGCTGCTAGCAACTGGGATTGGATTCATTCCTTGCTGCTGTGAGTGCTGCTTGCTTCATTTTCTGTCTCTTGCCTGTGTTTGGTCCACATTTGGGCCATTTTTTGGTTAATTTTCCATTTTAAAATATTTTTAATATTATTTTTTAATATTATTTTTTAATATTATTTTTTAATATTATTTTTTAATATTATTCTTAAAAAATATTCTAAAAAAGAAAAGACTCTTCTGTTGGTGTGTGCTCTCATTTGCTGTATCCTGCCTGTGTTTGGTCCACATTTGGGCCATTTTTTGGTTAATTTTCCATTTTAAAATATTTTTTAATATTATTTTAATATTATTCTTAAGAAATACCAAAAATATTCTAAAAATTCGTTAATATTTACAAAATTTCTTAAATACCAAAACTTTTTTTGGGAAAGTTTTGTAATTATTTTAAATATCGAAACAAAAAAACACCCCAATTACAAATCGATTTTAGAAACAAATTTTTTCTTGATCAAACAGGCCTACTAGGAAATGAGCATCCCCACTTCTAGACCTCAAAATCAACACAATCCAGAGTGCTGCAAGGTGCATTTTTAGGAATTAAAAAAAGACTAAACAAATAATCAGTCCCTTACTTACATTCGCTGAAGGTGAACAATTTTGTAATCTTCCATTTTAATGATATACGAGACGCTGTCCTGGAATCAAACGAGGGAGGGAGACAAAAACATTCATGAATAACCCAGGGCTCAATGAACAGGCATTTCATGGCCCAGCTGAGAAAAGATACTCACTCAGCATTGATAATAATGCATTCATTTATGGATAAGATGGAGCCTGTGACTGCAAAATGCAAGAGTCCCAAAGCTTACTGATAGAAGGGTACTACAAGTTTTCGTCAGTGTTTTTAATGTGGCACTATTTTTGCACTACGTAACCTCAAAATCACAGCAACCGCCACAGAAGCTGGATGGCCATCTGCAGGGAGGGTTTGGATTGTGCCCTCCTGCCTGGCAGAAGGGAGGGTTGGACTTGATGGCCCTTGGAGTCCCCTTCCAAAGTTAGGATTCCTTGTGAGGTTGCATGGGAAAGGTCTGGTGAAGTCTGTAAACGGTGCAAAGAGCATTGCTTCTGCCAGCCACCACAGCTACCCCCCAGGACTCTCCTGCCTTCACCCTCCCTGGAAAAAAAGAGAAAGAGAGGGAAGGAGGGAGGAAGAGGAGGAAGATGAGAGGGAGGTAAAAAGCTACTCACTTAGCATTGATAATAATGCATTCATTTATGGATAAGACAGAACCTATGAATGTGAAATGCAAGAGTCCCAAAGCTTACTGACAGAAGGGTCCCACAAGTTTTCATTAATGTTTTTAATGGGAGGAAACAGAGAGTGGAAGGCAGCAAAAAAAAAGGGGAAAGGAAAGAGGAAGGGATGGAGAAAGAAAGAAAGAAAGAAAGAAAGAGAGAGAGAGAGAGAGAGAGGAAAGAAAGGAGGAGGGAAGAAAAGGAGGAAGAAAGGGAGGGAGGGAGGAAAAAGAGGGAAGGGGAAGGGAAGGAGGAGGGGGCAAAAGAAAGGAAAGGAAAAGGTAGGAAAGAGAGAGGAAAGGAAGGAGGGAAGAAAAGGAAGGAGAAATTGAGGGAGAAAGAGAAAGGAAAGAAACAGAGAGGGAAGGGGGGACAAAAAAAGAAAGAGGGAGGGATGGAGAGAGGAAGGAGAGAAGGAGGGAAGGAGAAAGGAAAGGAAGGCAGAAAGAAAAGGAGGTAAGAAAAAGAGGAAGAAAGAGAGGGAGAAAGTGAGGGAGAAAGGAAGGGAGGAAAAAGAGAGGGAGGGAGGAGGGGGAAAGAAAGGAAAGAGAAAGTTAGCTAGGAAAGAGAGGGAATGAAGAAGGGAGGAAGAGGAGGTAGAAAGGCAGGTAGAAAAAGAAAAGAAGGAAACAGAGGGAAAGAGGGAGGGAAGGAGGAGAGGACAAAAGAAAGAAGGAACCAAAGAAAGAGAGAAGGAAGAAAGGAGGGAGGGTGAGAGAAAGAAAGTTAGTAAAGAAAGGGAAGAAGGGATGAAGAGGGGGGAGAAAGGGAGGAAGAAAGGAAGGAAGGGGATGTCAAGGAACAGGAGGAAGAAAGCAATGGAGAAAGGAAGGAAGGAAAGAAAGAAAGAAAGAAAGAAAGAAAGGGAGGGAGAGAGAGAGAGATGGAAGGAGGGAGAAAGAAAGAAAGAAAGAAAGAAAGAAAGAAAGAAAGAAAGAAAGAAAGAAAGAAAGAAAGAAAGGCAAAGAGGGAGAAGGAATTCAGAATTACGAAAGTGTGGTGCAGTGCTTTGATCCTTCGACTATGCTCTGAACCTTCAGTGAGTGCCTTTAGGCCAGTGCCACTCTCTCAGCCTCAGAGGAAGACAAAGCCCAATCCCATTTGAGGTGCTAAAGCCTTCTTTGCAGCCCCAATAGGCTTAGCCTATCTAATTTCAGCCCCTTCCTCCTCCCAAGTTGTGCGGGCCTGGTCTAGATGAATGCACTTCGACCCCACTTTAACTGTCATGGCTGAACGCTATGGAATCACGAGAGTTATAGTTTCACAAGGTCTTGACCCTTCCCTTCCTAATGGCGCTGGTGCCTCCGCAAACAACAACACTCAGGATTCCATAGCATTGAGCCATGGCAGCTGAAGTGATGTCAAGCTGCATTCATTCTACAGTGAAAGATGCCACTTCCATTGCAGTGTCTCTATCCTCGTCCTCAAAAGCCCAAATTACTTTGTCGTCTGGCGTCATCCTTGATTCCACTTCTCTTGGTTCTATTATTTCGGAGTAGAGGTATGTTGATGTTGACGGGAGAAAACCTACAGAGAAAGATATAGGGTAAATGAACATTTCGCTTATGCAACAAACCTTAGAATCATAGAATCCTAGAATCAAAGAGTTGGAAGAGACCTCGTGGGCCATCATCCAGTCCAACCCCATTCTGCCAAGAAGCAGGAATATTGCATTCAAAGCACCCCTGACAGATGGCCATCCAGCCTCTGTTTAAAAGCCTCCAAAGAAGGAGCCTCCACCACACTCTGGGCAGAGAGTTCCACTGCTGAACAGCTCTCACAGTCAGCAAGTTCTTCCTAATGTTTAGGTTTCCTTTCCTGTAGTTTGAAGCCATTGTTCCGCGTCCTAGTCTCCAGGGCAGCAGAAAACAAGCTTGCTCCCTCCTCCCTGTGGCTTCCTCTCACATATTTATACATGGCTATCATATCCCCTCTCAGCCTTCTCTTCTTCAGGCTAAACATGCCCAGCTCCTTAAGCCGCTCCTCATAGGGCTTGTTCTCCAGACCCTTGATCATTTTAGTCGCCCTCCTCTGGACACATTCCAGCTTGTCAATATCTCTCTTGAATTGTGGTGCCCAGAATTGGACACAATATTCCAGGTGTGGTCTAACCAAAGCGGAATAGCGCATGGGGAGCATGACTTCCCTAGATCTAGACACTAGGCTCCTCTTGATGCAGGACAAAATCCCATTGGCCCTTTTTTGCCGCCACATCACATTCCTGGCTCATGTTCATCTTCCTCCCCACGAGGACTCCAAGATCTTTTTCACACGTACTGCTTTCTAGCCAGGCCTCATTGTCCCCCATACTGTATCTTTGCATTTCGTTTTTCCTGCCAAAGTTTCGTTTTTCCTTCCTTTTCCCATTGCTTGCCCATGTGACGGTATAACCTTTGGAGCAGCAAAATTATTTTATTGGGAAAGGGACCTATGCTGCCCGCCCTTCATTTAAAATTACAACCAATAAAACAAAGAATTCTATGTGCACCTTTGATGCTCACCAGGGAATAGGAGGAGAAGGAGGAAGAGCCCGCCAAGGGGCCCTTCAATACAACGCAGCCTTCCCAATGGGATCTCCTCCACCATGTTGCCTCCATGGGCCACCAGAACTCAACTGACATTCCTCCCCAGTATTCCGACCCCATTACTGCCACTCAACCATTTACTACCTTCTCCACTGCTTCCCGATTGGACCGATCAAAATTCCAATGGTCACCATAGAGCCAAGTCCCACCCACGCAGAACTTTCCCGTAGGCTTCTTCAGACATAATAGGACTTCTTATTATGATTATCGTATTTCTAGGCGCAAAGATGACTGCTAGGCCTGTGCGGTTTCGTTCGTTAATTCGTTAATTCGTTATTAATTCGTTATTTTTGGCATTTCCGAAGCGATATTAAAACATATTTCCAAACCCGGAAGGGTTTTTAAATATCGAACCAGCAACCCCCATAGTTTTAACGAGCCTCTGCTCGTTTCGTTAATGGGGTGGAGGCTGCTGGAGTGCTGGTGCATGGGAGCCAATCCGGCGCTCCCAAGCAGTGCACCAGTGGGTCCGTGGCTGTTTGTTTTTGATTGGCCGGCGAGCCCTTTCAAAGCGGCTCCGCGCGGCCTTAGCTTGCTGCAGAGGGCGAGGGAGTTTGCATTGGGTTGGCTTGGCTGCTAGCAACTGGATTAATGGATTCATTCCTTGCTGCTGTGAGTGCTGCTTGCTTCATTTGCTGTCTCCTGCCTGTGTTTGGTCCACATTTGGGCCATTTTTTGGTTAATTTTCCATTTTAAAATATTTTTTAATATTATTTTTTATTATTTTTTAATATTATTTTTAATATTATTTTTAATATTATTTTTTAATATTATTCTTAAAAAATATTCTAAAAAAGAAAAGACTCTTCTGTTGGTGTGTGCTCTCATTTGCTGTATCCTGCCTGTGTTTGGTCCACATTTGGGCCATTTTTTGGTTAATTTTCCATTTTAAAATATTTTTAATATTATTTTAATATTATTTTTAATATTATTTTAATATTATTCTTAAAAAATATTCTAAAAAAGAAAAGACTCTTCTGTTGGTGTGTGCTCTCATTTGCTGTATCCTGCCTGTGTTTGGTCCACATTTGGGCCTTTTTTTGGTTAATTTTCCATTTTAAAATATTTTTTAATATTATTTTAATATTATTTTTTAATATTATTTTAATATTATTCTTAAAAAATATTCTAAAAAAGATAAGACTCTTCTGTTGGTGTGTGCTCTCATTTGCTGTATCCTGCCTGTGTTTGGTCCACATTTGGGCCATTTTTTGGTTAATTTTCCATTTTAAAATATTTTTTAATATTATTTTAATATTATTCTTAAGAAATACCAAAAAATATTCTAAAAATTCGTTAATATTTACAAAATTTCTTAAATACCAAAACTTTTTTGGGGAAAGTTTTGTAATTATTTTAAATATCGAAACAAAAAAACACCCCAATTACAAATCGATTTTAGAAACAAATTTTTTCTTGATCAAACAGGCCTAACTGCAGATGCAGACTGTGGCCAGGAAATCAGGAGACGCTTCCTTCTTGGGAGGAGAGCAATGTCCAGTCTCGATAAAACAGTAAAGAGTAGAGACATCAGACTGGCAACAAAGATCCATTGCCTAGTCCAAGCCATGGTCTTCCCTGTAGTCACCTACGGATGTGAGAGCTGGACCTTAGGGAAGGCTGAGCGAAGGAAGAGAGATGCTTTTGAGCTGTGGTGTTGGAGGAAAGTTCTGAGAGTGCCTTGGACTGCGAGGAGATCCAACCAGTCCATCCTCCAGGAAAGAAAGTCCGACTGCTCACTGGAGGGAAAGATACTAGAGACAAAGTGGAAGTCCTTTGGCCAC